AAATGAGATCTATTTCCAGCTAGAAAACTTTTGCTTTCTCTACTGTGATGAGTTGCTTGGCTGTTTTTCCAAGTTAAAGAAGGTGCAGAGTTGCCTGTGCTTCTCCTGAACTCTTTCACATGCACTGTTCTGTATTCATGCTCTATGATGCAGCGAGGAGTTCTGGGTTGCTATTGCTCTGTCCCTGGTGGACATGGAGGAGTGCTCGAGGAGGGAGGTATGGAGGAGGGTAGGATGTGGATGGGAATTACAGAATTAGCTTTGTCTTTGACTGGATATCTGAGCCTGATGGAGAGAAGATGGGAAAGTCCCCACTTGTGGCTTGGGCGCTATCTCAGAGAAGCTTGATTTCTTGGGAGTCCACAGACAATAAGTGATCTTAAGTCACAGCCTGATGTATTTCTTTGTGGCCCTGATTATAAAGTTGGGACCAAGAATATTGAGGAGTGTTTACATAAACATAGGATTGCTTGCTGGTCTCATAAAATCTGAGGCCCCTCATTGCACATAACAGCAAGCAAATTCTCTAATGTTGGTGGCATAGTGCACCCTTCAAAGTCCTACTACACATGTATCTGATTGGCTTTGATCATGTGTGCTATAGGCAAGGCTTAAAAGCTACTTAGTTTGTCAGCCCTGAATTTGCAACTACAAAGAATTTAAGTAGAATTGGATCTGTGGAGGAAAGACATTCTGCAGCCCCAGATAAGGTGACAAAGGTGCAATCATCAACCTTATGAACAGCTTACCATTTGTTACATATACACTTAGCTGGGCCTTGTGCTAAGCATTTTGTGTGGATTAATCCTTCAGTTTTATGAGCCCATTTTTACAGATGAGCAAACTGAGGTGTAAATAGATTTAGTTTATGTTATCCTATGCTCAGGCTACATTCTATTCAAAACATGCCTGTACAAGATCATTCTTAATTCAAAACAAATCCTTAAAAAGCTGGCTGTTATTTCTTTTTAGCAGCTAGAGGGATCTAGCCTTTGTTAGGAAATCAGATTCTAGTTTAAAGGTCATTCAATCAGGTAGCTTTGAAGTTATTCTACTGACCAATTCTTAAACAATGGATTTTCATTTATTGCAAATTTTGCAAAGTGAAGTAATTAATATTTTAATTTACTGAGTTAAAATTTGCATAAATGTCACTTTACTGAACTTGTTCAAGGTCAAGTCATACAGTGAATCTGATTCCACTCAGGAGCAGTGTAAAATATGCTTTCACAAACACCACGATATAACATTTTTTTCCTTTTTTGGTGGGCCTGGGGCTCAAACACAGGACCTTCTATGTATGCTAGGTGAGTGCTCTAGCACTGGTTACATGCCCAGTTCCTGGTATGATTTATTAGGAAAGTAGCAAGTCTAAGCAGAGAGTGGATGTACCCTTTTTCCACCTGTGGGTCTGAAAAATGATCACCATTGCTGAATGGACAGTAAAGGTTGCTGATACCAATCTTGAGAAATGGCTTGTACATACATACAATCAAGCTGTAGTTGGTTGCATTCAGGAACATTTTGTTTAGGCATTGGAATGAAAATCCTAGACTTTTATTTTTCAACTTTACCTTTGGACTTGGTGAGATACAGTCTTTTTATGCAGTCAGCTCACTGACAGCTCTAACAGAATCACTGTTTTCTATCCCACCAGTGACTTTTGGGGAGAAGATTTTGATACTTGGATTTGACTGTTGCTATTCTGTATGTCGGTGTATATTTCAAACACTACACACATTTCCTGATTGAATGCAGCTGCATAGGTAGGTCCAGAGCACATAGCTCTGGTCTAGAGCCAGCCCCGGAACACCTGGTTAGCTCTTCCTCTCATTTCCTGTGGCTGCAGAGCTATGGAGAGACCTCTGGGGAGAGGGAAGGGGGTAAGGAGAGGGAATGGCGATGCACAGGTGCCATGTGGATCCATCCACATGTCCAAGAATAGAACAATAGGACTACATTATATGCGCTAGTGTAGGTGACACTGATGTGTTATTAAACTTATGTAAATTTCACATATTAATTCAGTCCGCAAGTTTTAGTAAATGAAAAGCCTGTAATAAAGAAGACATCTTCCTAATATGTGTCATTGTTATTACTTGGCATGTTTGTTGCATAAATACTCCATCTCTGCTCTTTTAACAATAAAGCAGTGGAGTATTTTCTTCCATTAAACACTCTAGAACCCTTCCTAGGCCTGATGAGGCTTAGATAGCAACTCCGTTGAAATGATCGGTTTCCTGAGTTTGTTACTGCCCCGTGCACAATTGGCACAAAAGTGAATGGCTGGTGGTTTATTAAGTGAGGTTTGCTTCTCAGTGGATCCTTAGCCTCGTAATTTCAGACCTTGTTAAAGATCAGCAAACAGTTGGGAATGTGCCCAAGCCAAGACCCATATCCTGTGGTGTTCATTCAGAAAACTCACTGATGCCATTGGCTGGTGTAGTTTCAACAGGCCCACTGAGGCTCGCAATGATTTCCTTCCGTTGTTTTAAACTTGCTGCATGTGGCTTCTGCAAGAAGGAGGGTGAATGTTAAGAAAAACGATCTCTTCCTTTCTCTTAAACAACCAGATACTTTGCTTACATTGTCCTTTAGAATTGTGCTAGTTCTTTATCTGTTTTATACAAGCAGCAATTACTAGAGGATGTCCTTTTATGAAGTTTTTTTTTTTTTTTTTTAGTATTGTAGTCTAAGATGAATTCTGAGGCAAATAAGTAGTTTGGAATGCCCCAAAGAACCCATTTCTTTTCTGTGGCTGATGCTGAGATGAACTCTTAGGTCTTCTTGGGTGTTGGAGGCCATGAAACTTATTTCCTCTTTATAAGGAAGAAACTGAGCCTAGAATCACACAGTTAGTTGTAGAGTTGTAGAGTATAGACAGCAGGTATCCAGTCCATGATCTTTTCCACAGAGTAGAGCTACTTAAGAATATGACATTAGAGTGCTGATGGGAATTTTTCTTTTCAGACACCAATGCTGGGAGGAGGCTGAGATGGTGGGGAATCCAGCTAGTAGTTTGTGGCCTGAGTGACTTTCATTACTGGCATAGTAGTGACTCTTATAAAGCTAGCTGCTTCTGGGGATGTAGTAGGTAATTACCTACTCATTACAGGTGACTTCATTTATCTCATCATTTCTTATAGTAGTAGCTCCATCATTTCTGTCTGCTCCCAATCCCCTTTTCCCAAGCCATGCTCTGCTTATTGGTACCACTGGCTTTTAAAACTTCATTGTAGTTATCTCAAAATTCTACCTTCAGAAGTATGTATGCTACATTTTAAGAAATGACATTGCAATGACAATTTCAAGGTAGGGTATGGGTATTGTTAGGTGCATGGGGATATAAAATGTTGAGAGACATGATTAATGACAAAAAATTATGATTACTATAAAGCCAGGTTACTATTCCACCTTATTCTAGTAGCATGATGTCTAGTTCTATGCTTTCAGGCTACTGTTGGGAGTGATAACAGCTACATTAAGGCTGATTCATTGAACTGTTAGTGCATTAGTTTGGGACTGTACCCAACTAGTCATTTTAGCAATGAAGCAATTCTGTCATTCATCAAGAAATAGTATAACATGGATTCCCATGTTTATGCGTAAAGGTAGATTCTTTGTTAATGGCAGAAAGAACTGTTGATCTAGGTAGGATGTGAACTGACTTTTCAGAGAAAGAGCCATTCACCAATTTATTGATTTATTCATCACATTTTCAGTAGACACCTTCTATGAGTCAGGCACTGTCCTAGGTGCTAGGAATACATCCATGAGCAGATCAGGCAAAACATTCCCTGCCCTCATTTGATGTTACCAATTCCAGTACCTTCTTTGGACATATAGAATCCCTACAAAATATTTTAAAAATATAGCCATGTCCTATAAAAAGAAAAAAAAGCTTTTTGTATTTTGCCTTTTTTCCTATTTTCTGTTACAATTTTCCCATGGGTCAATTAGATGTTTGTTATTGTCTAATCATAATTATCAAATATTAATTTTCAGTGAGACTTTTAAAATGGTTGTCTGTTTTATTCTGCTACCTGGTTGACACAGGTAGCAGTTGGACAAAGGAAGAGAACTTCATATTACATTTGACTTACTAAATATCAAGCAGGAGGAAGATAAGCATTAAGGAACACCTATGAGATACCTGTGTAGCTTTTTCCCTGAAAGGGACCTCCCTGTTTTGTCTGTGCTGTCACATTACAGCATAACTTCTGATTGACTCTTCTCTCTCCCTTCTGCCCTGTGTGTTTTTTTGAGTAAGCCTGACCTTTCCTTCCTTTGTGATTGCATCTGTCTCTTTGTAAACAAGACAGCATGATTCCACAATTCGGGCATGTCTAAATAGGCATCATCCCTAAGCTCTATACCTAGTGATTCTGATTTTGTGCTTCTAGGATAGAAACCCAGTACACTAACTGCTTTTCCAAAAGGCGTATTGTTTTGTTTTGTTTTGTTTTTTTTTTGGTTTTTCTTTTGTTTTTTCCAAAAGGCGTATTGAAGAAAGATATTTGGTGTGGTGGCACAAGCCTGTCATTTCAGCACTCTGGGAGGCTGAGGCAGGGGGATCACAAGTTTGCTCAGCCTGGCCAACTCAGTGACTTAACAAGACCCTATCTCAAAAAATAAAAAAAGTCTTGGGGATTTAGCTTAGTGCAAAGGTCTTGGGTTTGGTCTTCAGTATTGCTTAAAAAAGACAAAGAAAGGCAGAGCATCTTAGTACTTTAAGAAAGACTGTCTAAAATGTTCTAGAACTATAGTAATATTGAACCACTCTCCCCTGGACTGAATCACAGGGGATGACCTGCCTGTAAATCTTAACTTATATAAATCTTGTTTTAAGAGGCTGAATTTATGTACTGTACATGTAATTAAGAAGCCAGCAGGTGCATAAATGTCCCGTAACACCCCAAAAGACTTATTTCTCTGTTCCGCAGTAAGAGGTGAAGATTGTCTTAGCTTTGTTAACTGGCCTTTTTGGCATTTCTCTGTAGGCAATGGTGGCCTGCTACCCAGGAAATGGAGCAGGTTATGTTCGCCATGTGGACAACCCCAATGGTGACGGCCGCTGCATCACCTGCATCTACTATCTGAACAAGAACTGGGATGCCAAGGTACTTTGGAATAATGAGGGTGTATATGGGATTATGTCATGTAAGGTGCAAATGAGGTAGCCTGAGAGTTCAGAAATAAAGACTGTGTAATTTCCCACTAGGAAAAGAATTCAGATAACCTAGGGGAGAGTTTTGAGTTCTTAATAGCCTTGCTTCCCATGAATGAATCTTTTCTATTTCTGTTTTATATTTTCCCTCCCACTTGCCTATAGAATTAGTAGTAAAGATGATAAGATAAAAAATAATGGATATGAAGTTAATTTAGAGGTGGGTAGGTAGAGTGATTATTAGGGTGTGTGGTGGGAGTGATTGATGAAGGGGAGGTAATTTGATATTAGGATTAAGAATTAGTTTTTTAAGCCTAATTCAGAGCCAATATGACTGTCAGTGCAGAATAGGACATACATGTCTCCCTTCCAGCAACAACATTAAGAGAATGCCATAAAAATAGAACTGTAGGATATAAAGCCATCTCCCAGAAAGATTTCCCACACAGACCTCTTTCTCAGGGTGATATGTCTCATTGGTGGCTGCTTGCCATGGCTTACTATGGTTTGTGAATGCCAAGGGCTTTGTGGCTTATTTTTGTATTATAGAGTATATAGATAGAGATACAAAGTCTGGTTCCACACTAATAAACATTTGTCTGTGCTTTGTATGCTCTCTGAAAGTTAAGAATGATTTAGGAGTCTGGGAAGTCAGAGAACTTTTCAAGCTTATTTGGCTTTTGAACCTTCTGCATCTCCATTTCCTGTTCATTAGGGCAGACTCGGGCTGTCATAAAGCAATGATATTTTATCTGGGGTCAGAAAATGAGACCTGGGAAACCAGTGAATCAGTGGAAAGGCTTATCTCTTGTTTGGTAACATGACTAGAATACACCCATTAGTTCTCTTTCAAAATCCTTAGGGGCGCTATAATGGGCAAAGTTATCAGGTCAATAACAGTAAGTTGCAAAGTATGAAATCAACAAATATTTGAGTGCCTTCTAGTGTCAAGCATTGAACTGTGGGGAAATATTGATGTGTGAGGCCTGAATTTGACCCAGAATTTGGTTATTCTAGTAGGACAGATTGGGTATATTTGTGAAAAAAAAAAAAAGTAGCTCAAGGGAGTCATAAAAGGTACAGATAAGGTGGTCTGAGAGTTTAAAAAAGAGAGCATATAACATTCAACTACCAAGGTCAGATACGAGTGAGTGTTCAGAAGAAAGCTATAAATTTTAATTGAAGGGGAAATTATATATGGTGAGTATTGTAGGAAGCTGTTAATATTAAGCAGAACCGCATAAAATTGCTAGTTTCTTTTTTTAGATCAAAACCAAAAATTGGCAACTCTGTACAATGCAATCTAATAGTACTCTTTTGTGTCCGTGGCTTCATGATTGTGGGAATGGGAAGGCTTTGACAGATGGAAGAAAGAGATATCTCTAGTTAAGTTTGAAAGAGAATTGGGTACAAAATATGAGAGGGAAGTAAAGATTTGGAGGTAAAGCCCACTTGGAGTGGAGGTTACAAGGTGGTATTGTTTCCAGCTGAGGCCAAAGTATCCTTGTTGACAAACTATATGTGAAGCTAGGAAATAACCTACTTTCTTTGTGGTTCTCAGTTGCATGGTGGAGTCCTGCGGATATTTCCAGAAGGGAAGTCATTCATTGCAGATGTGGAGCCCATTTTTGACAGACTGTTGTTCTTCTGGTCAGATCGCAGGAACCCACATGAAGTGCAGCCTTCCTATGCAACCAGGTAATAGCATGGGTCACGATTCCTCTTTGGGAGCTTGTTGTACAAACCCCAATTCCCAGAGAACCCTAAACTCATGTCCTGTGTATACAGGGGGCTGATCACACCCTGAAGATGACAGGTAACTTGTTTGGAGTGACAAATAAAGGGGACACTTTGGATATTTTGGTTTGTAAATCTAACTTCAGTTTGAAATAATTATTAACAAATTATTTTCTGTGAAGTGAGCATATTGAGTTGGAGATTTCTCAGCGTTTTTTTTCCCCTTCTTTCTACCCCTCTTCTAAAAAAAGTCTGACATGAAGCTACCTCTAGAGAAGGCTAGCTATCACATACCAGGAATTCTCTGTGGTTTCTTTCAGATGAATTAATAAGTTGCCAGTTGCAAGCAGATAAAGAACTCTGAGAAAAAAACGAGTAATTTATCTGATTCCTTTTTCTTATTTACCTGTCTTAGTTATTTTTATTGTTGCTGGAACAAAATATCTGACACTCAAAGCTAAAGGAAGGAAGGTGTATTTTGGGGCACAGTTTGTAGAGGTTTCAGTCCGTAATCGGCTGGCTCCAAGGCAGGGTGGCATGGCAGAGGGGTGTAGCAGAGCAGAAGTCAACCAGTAGCAACAATAAGCACCAAGCAATGAGAGGTGACCATAGCACTTTCTGTCCCTTGTATCTTACCCTGCACTTAGGGTGGCTAGCACTCACACCCTTAATCCTTGCATCAATCCTAGAACCATGTCCTTGATCCCAGCAGCACAAACCCTGGCTCCAGCCACCTCCAAAAAACCCCCACCTATGACCACATGAAGCTTTGAGGGGACATCTAGATACAAGCCATAACCTTACCCTTTCATTAGCTTAGTACTGGCTTGGGCTGGTTGTATCCAGGACTTAATAATTAGATATTAAAAAAAATGTTTTTTAAAACATAGATATGAAGATTTTTCAGAGTAACTTAGTGTTACTTAATATTAAGTAATATTAAGGAGTTCTTGATAAAAATATTAACTTCTTGTTCTGCCTCTTATTTGCCTTTGTATTATGGCCCAAGCTCTAAATCAGGCGGTACCGGAGTAATGCAGCATACAACTTGTACTGGGTATAGCACTTGAGGGCCAAGGGAATGAGCTTTGGTAGGATGATCATTAAACCTTAACAAACCTAATTTGATTAAACCTCACATGTATCCCCCTTCAAAAGTCACCCATCTGAGCCCCAGAGTTAAATATTAAATGCCAAACTGCAATGTGCTCTCGATGAACAGGTAACTAGATTTAACACTGCGGTTTGCTTGTGGCTTGCTTTATGGGGCACAACAGTGAGACCCTGTGGCAGAATTCTTGGGTTATTTCCTAGTCCCACAGTGAATGATTTCACAGAAGAAACATTGGCAAATGTTGATGGAAAGCCTTTGGGGGAGGGGGATCAAGTGCTATAGAAGTCATTATGGCTATAATAATTATCAAAGGGAACTTTTAAAAAACACCAGCATGAAGTGGCCCCTCTTCCAGTCTGTCCCTTGGATGAGATACAGCAGATTAATTGGAATACAGTAGAAAGCTTGAGGGCATCATTATCATCGCATCTTTACTTCCATACCCAAAACTAAAGAAAGCAATCCAAGAGTTTTAATCGTTCTGTAATGGACATAAGTTATTCTTCAAATGTCATCTCCTTTTCTCTGTTGTCTCCCTACCACCTTGAGTCTCAGTCTTTAGGAGGGTGACTCCCTTTCTGTCTTTTCCCTGTTCACTACTTTGACTTGTTGCATTATCTGTTAGATCACTTGTCCTCCCTGCTAGAGCCCAAAGTTCTTGGGGAAGCTCTGTGGAAGGGATCATTTAAATTCTCAGTACCCAGAATGATGCCTGACACATACTTGGAAATCCTCTTGTGCTTTATTACATTTTAAATAGAATTGAAGCCAGAGAAATCAATTTTAAATTAAAATTGGGAATGCACTTCTGATCACTGGTAAAATTTTAAACATTGGTTTTATAAATGACTTTTTGGGAAGCTTAGAGTAAACTTGGTTTTTCTTTTCATACTCATCTCTTCTTATACCTGCTTATCTTTCACAGGTATGCCATGACTGTTTGGTACTTTGATGCTGAAGAAAGGGCGGAAGCCAAGAAGAAATTTAGGAATTTAACTAGTATGTATCTGATATTTTGCGTGATTTTTTTATGAAGTTAATCCATGACTTTACATATTTTATAATATACTGCTTAGTCTCAGTTGTGGCTTAGTGCCATGGGTCATGACATCTGGATGGGCTTAATCTTTTTTTGTTTGTCTGTTTTTTTTGTTTTTTATTTTTTTTCTGGTACTGGGAATTGAACTCACGACCTTGTGCTTGCCAGGCAGGCGCTGTGCCACTCAGCTAATTTAATCTTAACACCTTGGCCTAAGCACCCTTAGAAAAATCAGAAAAAACATGAAGAGCATCCCCTCTGTATACCTTCCAATTATATGATGGTTTTGAATAGATGGAAAGAATTACCTATGATCATTAGTGTTAACTAGTCACATATTACGTTAAATTTTGTTCATGATTTTGGAACATTACAAAGAAAATATAAAGAATTGGCTATAATTTATTATATTGGTATGGGACTGTGAGTCTCAATTTAAAAGCAGGGCTTATGCAAGGTTGTATCAGTCTGAAAAACAGATATAACACAAGATACACAACTATGTAAGAATTTACAAGAGTGGCTTACAATGGCCACCCATAGAGTTGGATGTGGAAAAGTGCATAGGGTCTGTCTGCATCCTGGAGACCCAAGGATCCAGTTGAAAGTCTGGAGTTCACTGCGGTGTCCTATGCAAGTCCATATCAGGAGACCAGTGGGTCTGCAGTAGAAGGCTGAAGAGTCTACACCGGAAGGATCTGCGCCAAAAGCTGAAGAATCTGCACTGGAAGCCAGGAGATTATGTCCAAGGTGAAGGTGAAGACTGGAGCGCCTGTGAAGAAACAGAAGCAGATCTGTCCTTCTTCATTTCCTCTTTATACTATTCAGGCGAGGAGCCACCCTACAGTGGGGTCTTCTACACCCTAAGTGTGTGGAATTGCTGAGATGATTTAGTTGAGGGACTCTTACACAAGTTGACACAATCAGTTAACCATCACAAATATAAACTGAATATGACTTAATTCCATTCCTGTTCTTTCCAACCAGTATGGTAAGGCAGCATTTCCCAAAACATACTGTACTAAAACACTCATCCTGCCGAATTGGCTTATAAAAAGGTAAATTTCTGGCCCCCAAAATGTTGGGAATACTACATACTGTATCTTTCTCTTGAACAGTAACAGTGCTCATTAGCATATTAAACTAAGGCTCTAAGAGGTCTTGCAGAAGCTGCTGCAGATGTAGCTCATTGGTTGAGCACTCTTCCAGCATATGCAGGGTCCTGGATATAATCTCCAGCACTGCAAAAAAAAAAAAAAAAAAAAAAAAATTCTTGCAATGAAGAAATGTCTGTAACATTGCCTAGCCCATGACCCATGTGGACTGTACACCTAATCAAGCACCAAAGAGGACACTTTTATGACTCTCCATCAGGAGGCTTAATTTGCTTTATAAAATGAGAAATGTATACTGGATATTTGTGACATAAAATTCACCAGATTTGACTCTCAATCTTCTTTATTCTCTTTTCTGTTCTCACTCAGGGAAAACTGAATCTGCCCTCACTGAAGACTGAATGTGCTCTGAAATCCGCTGGCCTCCTTCATTTTGGTATCAGCTGAATTCTCCGTAAGAGTTGAGATCCAAAGATGGCCTCTTCAGTGACCATAGGTTATTCCCTACTGCTCGCATCATTTGCATCCCTGTCTTGTGTGTGGTACTTCTTGTTTTCTTGCCAGGACCGCATTGACCTCCAGACACTCTCTTTGCCAGACATGAACTCACTTGATAACTCCAGAAATGCCTGCAGACATCCTCGCTGGTCAGCGGTTTAAGGATAGATTTGGTGATGTTGGCTATCAAAGCAAGAGCCTGGGAGCGCAGAAGTGAATCTTACTTGCACTTTATGTATTCTTCCTGATTTGAAAGGAGGAGGTTTGCAAAGAAAAGCAAAAATTGGTGACAGAGGCATCATCGAAGCCTGAACAGTAGAAAACTGAAATTTTTGTCATCTGAACAATTTCCAGATGTTGTTAATCCTGGGCTGTTGGGGTTTCTGGAGAATTACCACAACCTAATGACATGATTACCTCCAGCAAGGGCTGCTGTCAGAGTGATCAAGTTGTAAGTGTCCCATGGGGTGGACACTCCTTTTTCCCTTCCCACCACCACTTGGACTTTCAGCCTCAGCCCTGTTTTGCTGAAAATGATTTTCTAATTGAGGATGACACCACCACTTATTCTTTATGTTCACTTTTTCCTGGGAGACTCTAATTACTCCGAGGCTAAAACTAGATATTAGTTGTTTTGGTTGCTTTGTTGGAATTCGAATTTAAATCAAAGGACAGGAAACTACCTGATAGTTTAGCATCAGGCGCCAGTGACAGTGTGGAAAAATCCAGGTGTGCTGATATGCAATAAAAGAGCGTACCATGAAAGATTGAGAGGGAAGATGGAAGTTGTAAATGCGGGTTTTCCCATTTTTTTCAGTATTCCTTTTTAACGAGCTCACCTTTCCTTAACATCAACAACAACAAAATAGGGTGCTATGTTTTAAAAAGGAAATGGAAATAAAAAAAATTATCAAAGTTGTTTGACTTCTGCATTGTTTGTCCCTACCAGATTGTCCTCAGCTGATTTGATTCATCAGATCCTCTGTGACTGATAGTGTGTCTAGAACCATGGAATTTTCTAAAACTGGGGGAGGTTCTGCACTGTGCTCTACTACTGCAGTAGGCAGATTTCACCACGGCAAGAACTCTATTTGAGTGTGCATCTGTTTTATGAGAGTTACCTTTCTGAATTTTCAACTCCACTTTCCTATTTTTAAAATCTCTTCAGTTTCCTGCTTGAAAATCCTATGGACATTAAACAGCCAGAAATGTTTTATTTTGTCATGAATGGAAATATAGAGTTTCCAATAAAGAAATTTATTTTCTCCTTTTATGGTTTGGGAAAATTTTCAGAGAAGCCCTATTGTCATTCCTTCTCACAGTTGCTCTATTTTGTTTTGAATAGTAGTTATCACCTTCTAACTAACTTACTATGTAATTTACTTATTTATGTTTGTGGTTTTGTATTCTTCCTCTATCATACAAGCACAGTGAAGATTTTTTTAAAATCAACACAATATATTTCCAACACCTAAAATAGTGCCTGACACATAGTAAGGGTTCAGTAAATACTTGCTGAATAAATTCAGTCTCTTATTAGCATCGAATGGTTTGATTTATTTTCTTGTCTTTGACAGAGAAAGCTCACTAGCATTTTTACGCAGATCATTATGGACTTGTACATTAGGCTAAGAGTTTTAGAAAGCTTTGACATAGTGACATTTCATTTTTATCTATGAATATGTCATTCATTGACCACAATGAATCTAGAAGTTGAGCAAATAATATTTCTGCCTTTTTGTATTTTGGGACTAGGAGTAACAGAAGCGTAGCTTCAGTTAGGACAGAGTACTATTGTTTGGAATATTCCTGCTTCGCAATAGTATTTGAAACGTTCAACAAGAAAGAAAGAAGCTTGTTTATTAGGAATTTTGTATTCATAAAATTATAACTTTTTTCCATGATTACTAATGTCATAAAAATGATAGTGATAATATTATGAAGGAATATCATGTAGTTCCAGTGGAATGTCTTGTATTGTTTTATCCTTCATTTTGGTCAGTATTTTGACTTGCCAAGAGATCTGACCTTTTAGGTTTTGCTTCTTTCTTCTACCCAAAGGTCTTTTCAACTAATAAGCTATACAACAAATCACTTTTTCATTCATACTATTTTCTTTTCATGGCTGAATTTGAGTCCTGCAAGATGAAGCTGGAAAATACAACTTTAATACTATCTGCCTTTTGTTCCTGTCTTTGACAGCCCATTTGGGGGAGGACTTGGCCATGCTGAAGAAACATTATTTGGCAAATAATCTGATCAATTTCATTTATATTCCTGGCAATGAAATGTTAAGAGCCTACCTTACCATTACATCATCTATAGAGTGCAGAGTCCTTGGTAGGAGATTAGATTTTGAACCAAAGATCCAATTTCATGGAAATAAAGTCTTACCTAAGTGCATTAAATAGATCTCTAGTAGAGTAGTTAATACCAATTAAATGTTGGTCTGTCTGAATCATAAGTTATCCATTCAGGCATGATTTTGTTTTTCTTTAAATAACTCTGTTTTTAGAGACTAGTTCATCCTAATTTCTTTTGGCTGTCCAGTTTTGAAATTTCCTGTGTTGTTTTAGAAAGCAGTGATGGGAAATGCCATGATGGGTCAGCAGTTTGTGTAAGACAGGAGGTGGTATGTCAGGTACCTTCGCATTTCATCAACCATGAGGACAAACACAAAGGATATTCTTAGTAAAGTAATTTTAAATAGAACGAATACAAAACTGACTTAGCTTCTCTTTGAGTCTTTTGAATGGCATGAAAAGAACACTGGTTAGTGACATGGGTTAGAGACTCATCAGAACAGAGGGAATACATGGTTCTCTTCAAAATAAAGCTTACATTTGTACTTTGTTAGGTACTGTATGCTAGTTTACGTTAAAGGTTGCAGTCTACCCAATCTGTCCTCATCCAAATGTGCTTTTTAAAATGTTGCTTCTCACTGTGTTGGAAAGTTAGTTCCATGGAGATGCTGAATTTAACATGGTTTATCTCCTTTACATTTGCAAAGTTGCAAGGTCAAGGCTAGAAGTTACAGAGTCATGTACAGAAGCTAAGAACAATGGGTAAATACTCAGTACTCAAAGAACGCCTATCTGCGGGGGCCTGTGCTACGTGCTCTCACATGTTTATTCTTTGCGACCACTGGGCGACAGCTCTTCCTCTTTTACTACTAAGGAAACGAACGCAGTGCTTAGGTGGTTCATCCAAGGTTACACAGTGATGGAATAGTACACTGGGATTTGACTCAAGACTTCCAGCTCCTGGGTATTTGTTGTCTTTGGTATCTCCCGCCTACAGAGCATATGCCAAATAAAAGAGAAGGAATGAGGGGAGCTGGGTGAGGCAGAGCTATAAATGCTGCTGCTTAATATTTTTACATAATTTTATGATTATTAACAAGGATGTTGTTGCGTCCTAAAAGAACACCAGTTGTTCAATAAAAAACCACACAAGCAGAAAACACCAGCTTCATAGTTGAATCTTTGCTTGATTTTGAAATGGGATCATGGGTAAACTTTGGGTTATATCCAACATTGGCCTTTTGGGCTAATTCTGGGCATGCGCCATTTGGGGTGCACTCTCACCTGTAAAGAGTACATGGGCCATTTGGAATGCAAAACAGTGGAGTTTCCTGGGTACCTTTTGGAGCTGTCTCATTAGGCAACCGCACTGGGACACTTAGGACTTATGTAAGTGGCCACCCTAAAGTTCCTGTGTCAGACGTGCTCTAGGGGCTGGGGATATAGCTCAGTGTCATAAGCGCCTGCTTGGCAAGGGCAAGGTCATGAGTTCAATTCTTGGTACCGCAAAAAAAAAAAAAAAATTTTTTTTAAAATTTAAATCAGATGTGCTTTAGGAAGAGGAAAGGAAACATTCTTTTGGATTCACCTAATTTCCACCTTGGACTGGAGGCACAGCTGACATGTCTGAGGATCTGCCATCTGATAATAGAGTAGAATACTTTTGTCACCTCTGAGTGACTGGAGATTTACAAACACTTAATTCTCAAAGGCACTTGGGCTACCTCTGTTTAACATTTTCAAGGTGGACTATAAATCATACCATCCTAATTTCTTTAAAACACATAACCTTTTAGCTTCCTTAAGTAATGTGAAACACTACGAGTGTTGACAAAGGACCACATTTCTTTCTTGTTTGATTGCTCTTTGAATTTAACGCTTAGGAAAGTCAGCTTTTCTGGAAATAGGTGCTGCTTAGGTTTCTGGGTGCCAAAATCCCCCAGAACATTTATAAAGACCATTTAAAAAAAATTCTCTCAGTTAAGGAATGGCTGTTGTGCCTTGTTGGCACAATTTTGCAAACAGATTTAAGAGAAGTCAAGTGAAATTGTTTTAGGAGTAGACAGATCATTAAATGAAAAACTAATAAACTAATTTTATTAAATTAAAAACTAGTCATTAAAAACTAATAGCCTTTGTTTTGTGCCTATTTCTTGAGGGTAACCTGCTTGTCCCTTCTGACTGGTGCATGGGATATGTAGAAGTAAAGGTGATTTGGGACTCAGAAGTAGGAGGAGCATTTGTCATGGGAGGGCTTCTGGAGAAATGGGACTTGTGAGGGCCTGGGTGTGGTTTGTGCATTTTGAAGGCAGCTTTGGGAGTAGCTCCAGTTTATGGTCTCAGAGTGTGCTGCTGAAGAGGCCTGCCAGGTTCTGGCAGGCCTCTTCAGCGCCAGGGCAGGGGCTGGCTGCCCCAAGGGATGCCAAGGGAGGGGGTGCTTAAATATTCACCAACTATCTGGACTTTGGAATTTTTACTGGAGATCATATTATCTGCCACAAAATACTGGGAAGTAGGTATTTCCCAAGAACTTTTCTGTAGACATTTCTTCTTTGAAAAGGTAATACATGCAACATGGGAAAAATGCAATCAGTCTGAAAAGACATATTGGAAAAAAAAATGTCTCTTTCCCTCAGAAACAATGTCGCTGCCAGTTTCTTACATCCCTCCAGGGGTTTCGGCCTCACAGTGGTGCCTAGCTATCCTGGAGAGTCAGCACCTCGAAGGAAAGTCCTTCTGCACGTTTGGCACGTTTGCTTAGTCATTTCCTCCTATTTTTATGCTTATTCATCCTGTGGCTGTATTCTCCTTGACATGCCTGTTTTTTTTTCCACCCTCCTGTGGGGAGAGATAACATTCTCAGTGCTTAAATTCTCATCTGATAAGTTTTATTTTTAACCAACCCCTGCGTCCTTTCCTCTTTGCTTCTTATTTTCACACCCTGCATGCTTCTCAGCCTTCTCTGGGTTTTCCAGAAGGTAGGGTCCGCACAGAGGGTTACGCTGTGCTCTGCCTGGGCTTTTCTGACTGGGAGCAGCTGGTTGGGAGCTGGAAACCCATCTTGGCCTCCAAGACGAGGAGACCTTTTCCTGTGTAAGCCACGCTGTTTTTAGCCTGCTTCAACCTAGGTCATTCACTCTTACCTCCTGCTTCCCTTCTGGGCTGCTTGTAAATTTCTTTTTGTCAGTAAATTTATGTTATCTCGATGAAGGACACCCGCTTTAAAAAAAAAACAACAAAAGAAACACAAGACAGCTGTAACTTGCGATGATTAGCATGGCCCAGTCTCCTAAGAGCAGTGGCCTTTTAGCCATTAAGACTTCCACAGTGTGACAACTGTCCAGAGTTTACATGATGATGTTTGGATTAAGATTTAAGCAAAGCAGCCAGTTGCTCACCCAAGTGGAGGGAAAGTGTATTTGGTTTTGTTTTGTTTTGTTGTCATGTGACCTCTAACCATGTCTTTCCCAGACAAATATGTTGGGAATAAACTGAACTACTTAAGTATATATACATTCTTTTTTTTTCCTCCCCCTTGACCCACCACCCACTTCCCCTAAAATGACTAAATATGGTTATGGCTGAAACTTTTCCAGGGAGCACTTGAGAAAGGAGA